TCACAAAACGTCTTCACTGTCAGTATCCCGACACATTCTTACCTGACCTCCAGGCCCGACGCAAGAACGCAAAGGCAAAAGAGAGAGCTGCCCTGGACCCAACTCTGGCCAGACCTTCCACGCCTTTACTGGTTGGACGAGGGCTGAAAAAAACAAAGCAAAATACACAGGGATTCACACAAGTTGTATGTTTTATGTTTAAGAGGCCTCCATAAGTAAAACACAGTGTGCACTCACACATCACACTGCAGGGTTTAACTCAAACAAGCATGGACACGAAGAAACTGTACTGTATTTTGTACATTATAACTGTACTGGCTCTATCTATAGCTAATTATTAGTTCTTGTTACCTCTTATTGTCAGCAGCAGGCAGTGGTGGGCTGGGGGGCGTCTTCCAGCGGACCTTGTACTTTTCTTCCATCATGCTGTGGCTGAGAGAGATGAGGTAGCGTTCCAGGATGACCAGGCGCTGGCGCAAGCGCTGGGCAGACAGGGCGCTTTTGGCCATCTGACCCGAGAGCTTCTGCTGGTCGTCAACCAGGACCATGAGACAGTCCTTCAATTCAGTCTCATCTACATACACACATAAGGAAAGGGGCAATGAAAGCATAACTAACCTAAACAAAATGGCACATATTTGACACCTATAAGTACCTCTCACAGAAAAACATTAAACTAAAGCAATGGGACTTTGTATGGAACCAACAGTGTGCACAATGCTTTTAAAAATATTTCACTACCCATGAAAATTTGCATTTTCATTTGTCAAGTAACAATTTATCAATAGCACAAAGCAGAGGGTATGAAGCCATAGTACAGCCTTGGGGCTGAGAATTTAGAGAATTTAGTATAAGTATGTCGTATAGTATGCATAGAAGGCTCTGTACTTTTATGTTTACCAATCTTTATACACTAACAGCATTGTGTTTCAAGAAAGGGTCCTATGACACTGGTGGACACTATGGCAGAATTATTGCTTGTAGTCTTGACTGTTTCTTAATGTAAAAAAAATTGAATATTTTCCACATTCAATATTATCTCCACTGGCCTTTATCACAATCAGTCCTTTGTTCTGATCTGGTTCAAGAGAAAATGCTTTATTATGAATCTATACAGCAGCGCTGCAGGGTAGACAAGATGGGCCAAAATAGCAGGTCTGAAATCCACTTAAGCTTTATGTAAGCCAGACTGGCCTGAGGTTGTATTAGCCACACTACAGTCAGCTGTGCTCGGCTGTCAGGACAGATATGTATTCCAGTCAGACAAAGTCTCTAACTATTTATTTTACATTGTCCATTGCTAAAAAGTAACTTTTGCTAGAAAACTACCAAAAGAGAGGAAAAACAAATCCACTGCAAAGAATCACAGCAAATGTGTCATATGTCCCTGCACCATCCTGGTTTTAAAACAATATGTCGGGTCTGGGCTCTAACTGCTGTTCCAGATATCTGAACATTCGATGGAAAAGCAGGAAGTATGCTGTTTGAACTTTAAGCATCAAAGACAGAGCACTCGTCCACTGAGCGATCCAGTTACACTCCAGTACAATCAGACCAGTGTGATTTCCTGACTCAGTCAATAAAAAAAGAGAAAGAAGCAACCAAGTAGCTACTAGCAAAGACTGCATTCGGTACGCATGTAGACCCTCCCCCCAGTCCAATGCTTATCTCCCACCACCATAACACCGTCCCACCCAGTCTTGCCAGTAAACACAGCTAGGGTGAGAGACGCTACCCCGTGTTAGGCCACATTATAACGCCTACCAAGATTACACTCCGAGGGGTAAAAATAACCACTCAGACCTTCAGACTGCAAGTTGTCATTTCAGAGTTTCCACACCTCACGTGCCAGCAAACATGCACAGATCAGCAGGGCCTGACAGACGTGAAATTGATAAACAGAGAGGTTGGCCATGTGTCGAAATGGTCAGTATCATTGCATCTGGTCGACATTTAGGTGTTGTGAAACCATGTGCTGTCAGCATGGTATTAATTACCCTACTTGGAAACAGAAAGGCGTAAAATAACACGAGTCACAACAGGAAAATAGGGCAGCATCATAGTAGTAGGCCACAACGGGATATTTTGTAGCCTGCCACATCTTAACCTTGTTCAGGTCACCCTCTCACCTGGCTGCCTCCCCCAGTCCCAGGTCTCAATGATAGAGTGATGCACAGATGTTGACGTCTCCTCCTCCTCTTTCTTCTCTTTGTCGTTGGGTTCATCCTTCTTCTGAGTTCCAAAGCAGTCAGTGCAATCCTCTGAAATCATCAAAAGACCTTCATTTCCACCAGCAAGATTAAAAAGCTGTCCCTGGCTCATACAGTCCTTAGATTGTGTTTAAAAATGCACCATGGCATCATAAACAAATGACAGCAATGTGCATACCTATAAAAAACATAGAAGGTAAAAGAATGCTGTACTCTCTCAGTGCCATACCTGGGTGAGCTGATTCCTCTCCATTGAATGTTATCTCCTCATCTTTTACCATTTCATTCCACATCTCACTCAGGCCTTCTGGAGAGAATGCCCGCTGCCAAAGGAAACAGAAAGCACATTTAGAAAATCAACTTTAAAATCTTTATCTGTTCCTCTGTTTGTGTGTTCTGCATGGTTATGTCAGACAGGCTATGATCACATTATGAGGTCATTATAATCTCAGCTTAAATGGATCTAGTGAACTTGGGTCAACTTGTTTTTGTGTTATATTATACTAAAAATATTCTCTTCTCACTCACATAGAAAAACATTCAGAAAATAACCATTCCATGTGTGTTATTTGTCTTTAATTCATTTTACTTTAGATTTTTTAACATTTGGCACAAACATTAGAGAAACATCTGTTTCACTTGTGGAAAGAAATCTTCTTCATAGTTAAGAAACATTATATCGTTAAGCTAAGAAAAGAAACGACAAACTCATGTCAAATATAAGTAAAGAATGAGAACAGAAAATAGCTGCTTTACTTCCAACTAATTTGAGGATACACCTGCTGTCAAATCTGTGTCATCGCCCCAGTGGTACACCATTCATACTTTGCTTCAGTAAGAAACACTCACTCAAGTGGAGAGCCAACTCAAGGACCTAATGTTTTCAGTGTCAAAAACATGTTAGCTCACAGATGACACCAAACCAGACACATAACACTAAAGCTGCCTTCAGCACTGGGGAGAGCTATAATGATGGGAAAACATGACACCCTTCCCCAATTTTAGTTCTCATTTGGTAACGCAAATCAATTTTCAAGTTCAGGTTGAGTCCAGACAGGCTGCAATTTGTGGAGGTGAGAGCAACCAGCTATTTTGTAGCACAGTGGATCCAGGGTGTTCTTCTCTGAATCTGTCATATATTGATAAAATACCTCATAATTACAACCAACATGAGTTTGTTTTCACAACATAGATCTTTCTTTTAATTACCCTTTCACCTGAACCTACAGATTATGGGCTTCACTGCTTTTCACATTACAGGAAAAACAATAATCATCTGTGCATGAGGCTTCATACAGCTTGCAGGCCAGTGGTTGCAGAGATGTCCTAAGTGATCAGGTATGTCAGCTTATTACAACCAATGCAGCCCCTATAACTCAACGCTCAGTTTGACTCTGACCATGTTAAAGTAGCAGACTATTGGATTTATGTTAATGTGCTATCAGTGAGACAGTAAGGTTCAGAGGTTTTGCAGTCAGTCCCCAACATGATGCAACAGTCAGACTGACAACAACCTAGAAATGATGCAGTTTCTAAAAGAAACTCAGCAGTACAGTCATTTTAGATAGCAAAACACAGCTGGTAGTGCTGCAGCAGATGCAGATGAATGTATTCAATAATCAACATTTACTAAGACAATAGAGCAAAATGTAATGTTTCATTCAGCTGAGGCAAATATGACAAATACAGTCAAACTCAGCCCAAAAAGTATCAGGCTGTCCTCTTAATCTGAAAAAGTAATAATTTCTATATGATTCACTCCCTCATGTACACATACCTGTAAGTCTATCTTCAGCCATTTGTCATGAAATCTCAGCTGAGCATCGAGGGTAAAAGATGTAGAAGGCATCTTCCCCTCTCCTCTCCTGGCTGCAAACGCAGCCAACCTGCAGCATAAAGAGATGAAAGGGTGTGTTATAAGACAAATTAAAAACTCAGGGTTAGAGGAGAATCAGCTAATAATGACTGGCATTATAATGTGCCTTTTAATGAATGAGGATAAAGCTTTGTGCCCAACACTGGCACACACCTTTCCAGGCCTGTCTCCTTTGTGTTGTGAAGGCCAGAGACAATTTACCTTTTACAACCACGCTGATTGGACTAGGTATGATGTAAGTAAGACTGATCACTATGCCAGTTCAACCAGATTATTGATTATTGATTGATGCATTTGTTGCTTTGATTATACTGAATGAAATCATGAGTTGAATAGAGGCAATAAATAGTCGACGGAATTACATTTCCCTGTCAAGAACACCAGCACATATATTGGAGAAAATCTACCTCACCTTGACTTGGATAAAAACGCAGTTCATCAGCTCTCGGTTTAAAGATTAACATTGTTAGATTGACATTTCCTCAAATTTGTGAACTTGCACAGTCAGGACAAATCAGCATAACCAACCAACAGTATCAAGCAAACATAAACAGAAGGGAAGCCCAACGCCGGTTGTCATCCATGATTGAATCACTCCTTTATCAGTGACAGGTCTTATAATACACACACCAACATTAGACAGCAGCTAAGTTACGTCTGAATATTGCTGCTGTTTTGAGAGAGGTTCAGTTTAAGTAACGTTACACAGAATGCTTTAACCCTAACTGGGTCAACCTTTTCAATTACATATGCGATTATAACTAAGATTTTCTTACTTAATCTAAAAAGTACAATTGTGACATGTAACTATAATGTGTACCTTGCATTAGCATCATTAACATAATTAACGTGAGAGTTTAAGGCCAAAGATGTATCCATAACTGAAACGTTACAGGAGACGTTGGGAGGAGAACGACAATATCGTAGCATTAAATGCTAGCAAGGACACAATCTCTGTTAACCTTGATAAAGTGGCTATTACCTGCTTATCACAGCGGTATGATAACAGACACTAGTCCAGCGGGTAATAACACACACTGACACAGCATCTAACGCTCATAACGCAACACCTAATGCTAGGTAACGTTCACATTAGCTTGGCGGCTAAGGCTAACTTCTTAGCTTGCTACACAGCTAACACTAACACAGCGTAAGCTAGCTAACGCTAACCATCATCCAGGCAACGATGAACCAGCTCCAGTGTGATGACACCGACCCGAGAGAGCAGCAGCGTCCCGGCGAGCTCAGCAACACAACGGGTGACAGGTCAGTTTCGACAATACGTTTGTTTCTTACCTGCAGCGGTCTCTTCTCGAGCTATTCTCGTCCCCTCAGCTGCTTTGCTGCATTAACAAACGCTCATAATGGATGATTGACAGGTCGCGGACTGGGGCACGAGGCATGGAAACAAATTACGTAGTCGTAACTGGGAGATTCAATGCGATTGATCTGTACCACGACAGCCCGCTGGGGCGGGGTTTCTAATGAGAGCGGATCCGTTGGCCATAGATTCTACTCCGCCCGCTCGTGCTGGCCAGTGTAGTAATATAAGCGGATTGGAGGCGGGACATAGGAGGGGCGGGGTTAGCCTAGAAGGAAGGCAAACTGTCCGCTAGGGGGCGGTGTGTCTCCAGGAAAGGGGGGGGGGTATTTATTTCACAGTTGATTTATTTAGGGACAGTTATATATTTAATATAGCTTTAGATGTGTATTTAATTATAGCGTTTGTTTATTTAACTTATATTTAAATACTTCAACCAATAACTTTATACAATGATTAAACCAGTATCCTACTTAAAACTAATTTAATAAAACAGTTTTGAATTGAATGTTGCATAATTCGGTTGTGTAACTTTGCTATTTGATATGTCTGCTGCTATTTTATCTATTTGACCAACAGCAACCTCAGAAATGTGGGTTCCTGGTGATTAATTATGTACTTCTTATTTTGAGTATCTGTACAAAGGCCATGAAGTATATGTGGGATCATCTTCCTGAGTCCGCTGAATGTTCATTTTTAATGTAATGTCATGTTTTCCACAACAGGGCGAAGAGATATTCCAGAAAAAAGATTAGCAAGATAGCTGGATCTGTTAATACATTCTATTAATATAATTTCAGTAATCCATCATTAAGGGATTATTGGATGGGACAGCACCCCAAATTGTGAGAGGTCCAGTATGCCAGGCCCTATGTGTGTGAAGAAGGTAAAATATCTTTCTGACAAACTAAACGAATGGCATTAACATTTAATTTAGGGGCAAGGAAAAAGCTATAATGACACATTCAGAAACAGTATTTATCCCCTTGGGTTTTGTGTCGAGAGTTAAGGTCTAGTTCAGTTTTGGTTCAGTAATGACACTATATGATATGATTCTATAAAAAAGGCATCTGTTGTCTCACTCCAGCAGCAATGGTGAGAGGTCTAAGTGTAATGTTTGACAGTTAATTTCAGACTGGTTCCTTCCTTTTTGCTCAAGGGGATATTTTTGTGTCCTCAGGTAGGAGGAAGACTAGTGTTTAAATGAAGAACATGATTCACAAGGCAGACAGCTCCTATTCCAGTGCAGCTCTCTCCTCTCCTTTCTAATTTGTACTTTCCAGAACAGCTGAACATAGTAGTTTTGATGTGGTCCCTTTAGAATTGGGCCTTCAGTGCCATTTCATTCATTATCTAGGAGGCTTTGTGTCTGATGCAACAAAAATATAAACAGACTGTCACTGCAATGTGCAGGCAATGTCTATCATATAGTATATCATTTATCATATAGTATATTTATTCATCTCTCAGTGCAGTGAGAGTAATGCCGGGATGGCGCAGCCTGGTGCTCCAGGAACCGCACATGCGCACTGTCTCACTTCCTAAACACGAAGTTGGCTTAGACCTTCGGTCACTCTGCTGGTTAAACCTAACGAGCAGCAGCCACAGTAATGGCTGTGGACTCAGAGCCAGGCGGCGTTTCGTTGCCTGTAGCTGGAATAGTGATAGCAGTAGTGTCAAGTTTCATCAATGGGTCGACATTTGTGCTTCAAAAAAAGGGGATATTACGCTCCCGCGACAGAGGTAGACAGAAACAGCTGATAAGCAGACGGACATTAGCATTAGCTTCATGACTATATAACGTTACGTGGGTAGAAGTGAGGAAGCCATGCGAGTTGTATCATTAAGTCTGAACTCTTCACTGTATGTTCCACAGGCGGCTCGTACCTCACAGATGTGGTGTGGTGGTCTGGGACATTGTCCAGTGAGTATAGCGCCATCTGTCGGCTCTGGATGCACAAAAGAAATCACACTTTGAGTTCCGTGTGCAGCTGACTTCATTTAAAACACTATTCTCAATGAATGTTTGATGTTTTGACTCATGTGTTTATGAATGTCATTAGTGGCTGTCGGTCAAATTGGGAATTTCCTGGCGTACAATGTGGCCCCTGCTGTGATAGTGACACCACTGGGAGCCCTGGGAGTGTTGTTTGGGTAAGTCCGAGAGAGAAGGGTTTTTTATTTTTCAGCATTTGGCTTGAAACTGTGATCTGGTTTGGCCAGCTTCCAAACACCATACGGTGAATACAGCAGCATAATGCAGCAACATAATGCTTTCCCCCCCTCTTTTTATTTTTAATTATTTTAGGAGATTTGTCCTTATGTCTGAATTTTCACAGACAGTATCTGATCAGGCCGGTTTATTACCTCAGGCAATGTAAAGTTGTGGTTAATTATTCATTCTTTTTACTGGCAAATTTTAATATGGAAATGGTTTGCTTTTAATACAATTTCAATCTGTATAAATGATTTTGGTCCCATGACATTAAGCGATCATGAACTGCTTTAATCTACACTGTATCATTTTACATCTGCCAAGCACAAGAGTGCAGAGTCAACATTTAAAACTATTCCAGTCGTCTTGTGTATCTTTGCAACAAGATGGTGTTTTTTTGCGATGCAGGGCGGTGCTGGCCTCTTGGATCTTGAAGGAGAATTTAAATATCCTGGGAAAGCTTGGCTGTGTGTTATGTTGCTGTGGCTCCGTTGTGCTCATCATCCATGCCCCTAAAGCAGTGGCTGTAACGTCGAGACTGGAGTTAGAGATGAGGCTATTTGACCCAGGTGATACAATTGATAAATGTGTATTCCAGAATTATTGAAGATAAATATACTGTTTACAGTAATATAAATGACAATATCATTTTTCATCCTGCAGTGTTTGTGCTTTATGCCCTCTTGGTGGTCCTGTTGCTGGTCGTACTAATCGTGTGGATTGCTCCAGCTCACGGCTCATCAAACATCATGGTGTACGTTGCCATATGTTCCCTCTTGGGAAGCTTCACAGTTCCGAGCAGCAAAGGACTTGGTCTCGCTGCACAGGACGTCTTTGGAGAAGGGCCCCCGAGCAGCAGAGCTGTGGCTCTCTTCCTGGGTTTGCTGGGGACGTTGGCCGTCAGCATCCTGATACAGTTTGTCTTCATCAACAAGGCCTTGGAGTGTTTCAGCTCCAACACCTTCGAAGCCATATACTATGTGACCTTTACGTCCACTGTAATTTTTGCTTCTGCTCTTCTCTTCAAGGAGTGGACTGCACTAACTTTAACTGACAGTCTTGGCATGCTTTGTGGTCTGGCGACAGTGTTTGTCGGGGTCGTTTTGCTCCGCATTTCCCAAGAGGCTTTGATCACTTGGAAGAAGAAGACTGATTGAGATGCCTTCGTATGACTTTTGCCAAACTGCATTTCTTATACCACTATGAGAGATTTGTCCTGTGCAAACTTCAGTTCAAGTGACCAAAGCAACAGTATATTTATTATAACTACTTTCACCAACATTATACTTGAGTGCTTGCGGTTCCTTGTGAGCAGTTCTTAGTTACTGTGTAATAATAACCATTCCTTTTTTAATTTTCATTAATATTCACAACTGCAGCACTCATCATGTGACTGTCACTTCCCCTCTAACAGCTTTCAAACAGCACACTCAAATATAGCTTGGGGAGCAGTTAATTTGTCAACTTCACACACTAATTTAAACCAAACACTGGTGCTTGGTTAAATAGGAACTGAAAATAATTTTGTTTACTCTCATGTAGAGTGTTACCCTCACGGCTTTAATGTTCTCCTATCGCTGAACTGTATCAGTGTGGAATCGCCTACACTTTGACTTATTCAGTGTGCCTCTGAGTCTGAATTATTCAGTGTCATTTCAGAAGCAGTGTCTTTAGTGCCGGACTTGTGTAGAAGATGACATTCAACAATGACTGAATCTTTTAATGGAGGGATTTGTAAAGCTGATATGACAAATATGAACTTTTGCTCTGGAGCCATTAGCTGTTGTGTCATGATGTGTTGTGCCTACATGTTGTTAACAAGTAATTAAAACATAATTGAGATTATTATGGATTTTTATGTACATTATTTAACTGTTTACACTCATTTCTACAACAGCATGTGTCAGCTTTGGGCTGGCTTCGGTGAGTCTTTGTCATACAGAAGGGTGACGGAGATGAAGAATCTAACTAACTAATAAATCAAACTACTTAAATATCACCTGTAAAATATTTTGGCTTTCCTCATACCAGGTTTTTAATACACAGTCAGGTTTTTCGAGAAAGAAAAAACTAACAAAGGGTATTATTTATAATACTTTTAGTTATTATTATTATTATTATTATTATATTAACATTTACAATAACTCAATTAATTTAGTAAGTCGTTTGACTCACTGTTATTAAACTAAAGTTGAATTCCCCACACATTTTGGTAATATTTACGGTTTTGAATAAACAAGCATTTTCTAATCACACTACGAGTTGATGGTGTTTTTATAATTCAAAGTGTAGAATGACTCCAGTAAAAACCTCATGGTGAACGCTGTAATGTGTTAGTATTGCAGTGTAGTGTGTTTTAATGTGTGTGTGTGTGATATCTGTGTGGTACTGGACTTCAGCCTGCGGAGGGCACACAGTTCAGTGGTCACATCCCCGGTGATAAGCAGAAGAAGAGGCTCGCAGTGCGGCAGTCGTCAAGCGGTTTTGGTGCTGGCTGAGTTGAGAGAGCAGTATGAGATGGTTAGCAACAGAGCCAGGAAGCAGGCTAGCCATTAGCTAACCTCCAGCTGCTACCACTTTCTTCTCGTTTGGGAAACCAGCCACCTTCGACAGGTATTTACCTCTCTGTATGACTTCTCAAACCTAGCCAGCGACCGATACTCTCTGATTCTTGGTCAACGCTAACTCGAGCTAGCCGACCAGTTAGCCGTCGCGCTAATGTAAGCTAACGTGGCTAACGAGGGAACTACTAGCAATGAAATGCTGTTTAAATGACCCAAATGTAACCCTGTGGCCCCATCACAGTGCCATTGCCCCTGGGAATAGTGTGGGTACATGTAATATTCGGGCAGTTATTTAATGGACTGTTATGGGCGACTTTACGAGACGGTAAACGAGCTGCGTGCAGCGTGCCCAGGTTAACATTAACCTCAGTGAAACGATACTTCCTGAATTCCTTTCTTCAAGTGAATTTGTTGACAGCAGCTGACTGAGTTCAGACAAAGCTCAACACCCAAATAACCGGTTGTCTATTCAACATCATTACTTCAGTGTGTTTGTATGAGAGTGTAAGGCGGAGAGGGTAGATAGTCCTAAATGTGCTGGTACTGTGATGGATTCTTCCCACACATCAGATTTTGGTTCACCAGTTTGTAATGTTGACTGTGGAGATGGTAGGTTGTTAGAATAATGTTAAAGACCTTTTTTAATTTAATTTAATTTTTTACTTTTTCTCTCATTATCTGATACGTGTTTTGTTGTCTTCCCTTGTGCTCTGCTCTCAGGTGTCTGGGCTGGCCAGAACTGTACTTTTGGTCAGCATCTGCATTGTTTGGTCGTAAATGTGACAGACCACACCAACACATCCAGCCTCACTATGGGTCAGGACAGAGGGAAGTATGACTTTTACATCGGTCTAGGATTGGCCATCAGCTCCAGCATCTTCATCGGAGGCAGCTTCATCCTCAAGAAGAAAGGACTTCTGAGGCTGGCGAGGAAGGGATCGATGCGGGCAGGTACTGACCTTCTCTAAGCATCTATTGTCAATCACACAATGGAACAGATTGTCCAACTTTGTCAGCTGAGCTAAGGCACTCCCTGGTCTAGTTGTGCAACACTGAAACCCAGCGAAGAAGTCAAACCAGTGGAGACGGCACATTAACACCCGATTACACCCTCCCTACATTTCAGACTTAAGTTTCCTCACATGTGCGGGGTGTGTTTCTGTCTGTGTGTGTGTGTGAGAGAGAGTGTGAGTCATCAGCACTCTTTTAACAACTAGTAATCATTAACTTCACCTTTTCATTTGTCCTTCAGCTCAAACCCAGTGCGGCTGCCTGACTTGTAGTTGTGATGATTACACAGTTCAGGTTTTGCTTACATGCAAATGTTATTTAAATGAGTGGAATCACATGTTCTGAAATATTTATTTGTTTGCTCTTCAGGCCAGGGTGGTCATGCATATCTAAAAGAATGGCTATGGTGGGCCGGTTTACTATCAAGTAAGTGATGACAGTCTGTAGTTAAAATGTAAATCTCTACAATCTCAGTTTGCATGGATCTTCGTGATTTGCAGGTTAAATGATGTTTAGATGTTAAGATTTAAACTGGGGTAACGATGGCTGAAAATGTGTTTTTCTGACGTCTTTGAACAATTTCATTTGAAATGCTGTTAAACCAGTATACCTAGTGTAGATGTCTATAAACAGTTTCAACCAGTACTTTTAACCTAGACTCCTTTTACGTCTTCTGACCTGCAAATGATCCAGGCCGTGCTTACATGGGAAGATAACATTGTACTTGCAACACACTTTAACCTCAGGCAGCATTTCAGTGTTTGCCCCTTTCTGCCTTCATTACAACATAATTATCCTCGTCATATTTGGTAGTTAACTTAATGCGTCTTAATCCTTTACAGTGGGAGCTGGTGAAGCAGCCAACTTCGCAGCATATGCCTTCGCTCCTGCCACTCTGGTCACCCCACTGGGAGCCCTCAGTGTGCTTGTCAGGTACAGATGACTCGCCGCATGACTTGGACACTTAAATGTTTGTCTTATATCTATAAATGGATGTGTGATGTCACTGTGGCTGACTGCAAATGTCATTGCAGTGCGGTGCTGTCATCGTACTTCCTGACTGAGCGGTTAAACCTGCATGGGAAGCTCGGCTGCCTGCTCAGCATCCTGGGCTCCACCACCATGGTAATTCACGCTCCGCAAGAGGAAGAGATCAGCAGCCTCGAGCACATGACCCAGAAGCTGGTTGACCCAGGTACAGAACTAGTTAGAGATACAGTCTACAAATATTTCTTTTACCAAGTCTGGGGCCTGTTCTACTTGATTTAAGACCAAGCACAACAACTTTGTTCGCATTATATTTCTTCACTGATTCATTAATGTCAGCTCCAACTTAACACTCCCTTTTTCTCATAGGGTTTTTCATCTTTGCCACTCTTGTCATCATTGTCGCCCTCATCTTCATATTTGTTGTGGGTCCCCGCCATGGTCAGACCAACATCCTTGTCTACATCACCATCTGCTCAGTAATTGGGGCACTATCGGTGTCCTGTGTCAAAGGACTGGGTATTGCCATCAAGGAAGCAATTGCTGGGAAAAGCGTTGTGAGAAACCCACTGGCATGGATCTTGCTTTTGGGTCTCGTTGCCTGTGTGAGCACACAGATCAACTACTTGAACAAGGCTCTGGACATATTCAACACATCCCTGGTGACCCCCATCTACTACGTGTTCTTCACCACATCCGTGCTCACCTGCTCTGCCATCCTCTTCAAGGAGTGGGGGCACATGGGCACGGACGATGTGATCGGCACCCTCAGTGGCTTCCTCACGATCATCGTGGGCATCTTCCTGCTCCATGCCTTCAAAGACGTCAGTGTTAGTTTGGCTACTCTCGCTGTGTCCATGAGGAAGGAGGAGCGGGCCTTTCCCGCAGCCAACGGTATGGGGTCCCACAGCACCTATGATCTGCTACATAATGAGTCCACTGAGGACATTGAGGACAGAGAAATGGGCTTGCCTTTTGATAGCGTCTCCAGAAGAAATGGGGCGATGACTTCCTCATTGGATCATTAAGGAACTTTCTTTTCCTCAGCCCCCTACTGACTCACCAACCATGGCATTGTTATGGTATGACAACAGTAAGACAATCAGCTGTATGGGGAAAGTGACTCAGACAGACCAGTGGATTGTATTTTATGTTTTAATTTGCCTTACTTTTCTCAGAATATGACCTGGTCATGTTCAGTTCCAGTTAGAACTTAATTTCATTCCTCTGTAGCGCTGTAAATATGAGTTTTTTAAAGAAATGTTTTGTTATATGTACATGCATACTCATGCACTGACTTACTTTCTATAAATCAAAAATATAAAGGTTTTAATATATATTCTATATGAGCTCCTGCTGACAATTACTACAGTTCAAAGGACAGTCACTATGATTTGAGGGTTGTTTTTTTTTTTTTCGGGATACTTGAAAGTAACAACAACTTTTGTTGGAAGTCGTTCTGACCTTTTTTTTGTAGCGTTTACATGAAAAGCTCTCGAGATGAACCAACAGATTTGTTACATATTTATTGAATTAAAATGATTAAAACAGTTGAAACACAAGGCACAGTGAATAAATGCTTAACATGAGTATGAGATTTGTTACTTTTCAATTTCCTTTAAAATGTTTAGCATGCATGTCCAACAATATAGAAAATACAAATTTACTTCCACCCCCACTTAAAATAGACTGCTGTTCACCCTTTAATATTCCACCACTGCAAACCCTTAAATACTCATCTGATAAAACTAATTTCCCTTCCCTGATCTATAGCTTTCTGCAAGTATAAAACAAAGAATAGTTCATCCAACAAGGGGAAATATCTATTCATTTCTGATAAGGCACAAGTGAAATACAAAAAAAAAAAAAAAAATGTGGCCCAACTTCCTTACATTTAATGGTCCTTTTCTTCTAAAGACCTAAAGTAAATAAGGAATAGTTGTGGATAGTCTGGTAATGCTGACAGTGTTTGGAACTTCAGGCTGGTCCACAGTATCGACAGTGGCGGTGGCAGCACCTCAGCTGCTGGCAAGTGACTGGTGTATCGGCGGTTGGAAGCATCGGACGTGTTCGACCGGCATGTTCTCTCCATCGCCAGACTTCATGTACTTGTTCAGGATGGCAAAAATCTCGTTGTTGAGGACCTGGAATTTGCGGATTCTGTCGACCATCTTCTTTAGTGGCTAAAGGGAAGCAGAAAATGTGAACACACTATTGAGTATCTTGTGATTGAAGACATATTTTCCTGCTTAATTTGCTCATTTAGTCATGTTTTGATAAAGA